TGCCGCGAAGGATGGCTTCACTCTGACGGATGCTGCGAAGCTGTGCCGCGACGCGGCGGACTGGCTGAAGGGCGTGCCATACCCGCCCACCGGAGCATCTGGCGCTGCTGGCGAGAAAGAGGCCTTCTTGCGAGCTTGCATCCTGGACGTTTGCTCAGCAGAGCCAGAGGATCGCAAGGATGTGGCGGAGAACGCTGGCGACCAGGATCCCAGTGAGCCTCCGGTACCGCCATCAACGACGACCACCACGACCACCACGACCACGACCAGCACTTCGACGACCACCACGACGACTCCAGCAATTGTCGGTGATGAGTTGTATGTCTTCGGTTTCACTCCCTACGTTGGCTCTTCATCGCCTTACATGCCGGAGGGCGTCGTTGAGGTGGAGTCCCTCCCCGACGGCAACACACGCCTTTCCTGGAGCCTCACCGGCCTCGACCCGGGCTGCAGCAGGACTTGCAAGAACGACAACTGCTGTGGGGTGGTCATCTACGAAGGCGGGAATCGGGCAGACCAGCAGTCGGATAGTCTGCAGTCGTACGTGGTCCTAGATTGATAGATTCGATTCTAGATCGCCACAACTATCATGAACAGGACCACTACCAGGATCAACTGTTCACCACTGTCACTGCTACTGCGATTGTGAGCTTACTAGCATGAAGCATCTTTACACTTTTTGCTCTTGCTGGTGATGTCAGCACGAAGACGACGGGGAGAGGGCACGACAGCACGTAAGCGACAAACCAGCAGCAAGCATAAAATAATATGCAACATATATATATATATGATCATGTATATAGGCACCGTTTATCCCTGCGGAGGCACGAGCTGCGAGGAGCCTGCAGGCTCTCCCCTTTGGGATGCCGGGGTGTCGGTGAGGTACACCTCCAGCCCATCGAACGTGCTGTCCAAGGAAGTGAAGACGGGCCTTGCAAACGACGACGTGCTGGGCCGCACTGTGGTGATCCATGACAAGAAAGGCAGAAAAATTGCCTGTGGCATCATCGAGCCGTCCACCACCACGGTCTTCGAGAAGTACCCCAAATACGGTGGTGACCTCCCATTGACATCCGGTGGTGTCCAGGCCCTCATTCACTTGCTTGACTGTTGCGCTCTCCGTAGCTGCGTGTAGCCACTACATGATTCCTGAACGTCTACAGTAAGCTGCATGTCATTTGTGGTTGAAAGGTCGAGTCGGAGGACGGAACGCAGACGCTCAGCTGGCTGTTCACGCAAGGCCTTGACCCCCGGTGCGATAAGACCACATGCACGGCAGCCAATTGCTGCGGTGTCCATATCCATGAGGGCACCACCTGCTCGAATGCCGCCTCCGTCGGTGGGCACTACTGGAACAAGGACCTCTATCCGGAAGACCCCTGGATGGACGTTCGCTACGTGATCGAGGGCTCCATGCCGTCGGCAGTGAACGACCTGACCGTCACAACGGGCTACAATGCCGACGACATCGACGGCCGGGCTGTGGTGGTCCACGACTACGACGGTGTTCGCATTGGTTGCGCCATCATCGAGATGCTGGAGGAGGAGCCAGCGCCTGTGGACGGTGATGACTTGTACGTCTTCGACTTGAGCCCCTACGTCGGTTCCTCGTCGCCTTACCAACCACAGGGAGTGATCGAGGTGAAGTC